TTTTTTTCCTACAAATGTTTGCCTATAAATAGCCATTCATGGTTACATTGTAAAAGGGATCAAACTCAAATTAAAGACAATTGATTTCTATTTTTCCTTGTCATTTATATTTCCTACACTTTATTTTCAACACCTCCTTTTTGAAGCATAGGAGTAGAAGTAATTTTATGAACTTCCGTTTCAAGGCATAGGAGTATAGGTAATTAATTTGTACTTTGATTGTTCACTCAATCATCTTTCTCCATCTCCCTCCTTTTTCTTTTAATTTTCTTTTCTCTACACTTGGCAATTTTAAATTCCTCTTCATTGAGGCAAAAGAACTGTCAACACAATTGCTTGATAATTGGCTTGAATTTAATTTGTAATGCAAAACGAATGCTCGGGGGCCAAAACACGCAGTTCGGGGTCCCGAAAATGGGCTGCCAAGCACCGAAAGTGGCGTTCGGCCACGAAGTGGGTTTCTCTGACCCCAGTGTCCCTCAAAAGGGATTAAATAAGATGCACGCCAAAAACTGGAGCAATAGGAGATGGTCAGGCGGTCCCGAACCGAGGCACACGGCCAACGGTCCCGAAAAACCGGAAACCGGGCTCCGAAATGGGCAAAATGGCCTACGGCCACCAAATGTAGCCCACGGCCACCGAGAGATGGTCTACGGGACCTCTCCCTCCCCTTAGGAAAAGAAACAGAGAAAATCGAGTCTGGTTCACAAATCGAGGCAAGGCAAAGAAGAGAGTTCGGGAGTTCGGAGGCAGGGCTCACGGCCGCGACTCTGAAACTTCTGAACGAGCGCGATATGCAACATCACCAAGCGCTCAATCGGTGACGTCTGAGTCTTAAGGTCGGTCAAAAATAGGGTGTCTACAGGTACCATTACCTTCCAATAGGTGTCTAGTAAATTGGCATTTCATTGTGGAAAGGTGTATCCTTGGCTCACCATGCTTAAGGCAAGTAGAGCAGAACTTATTTATCATTATTGTCTCAGTGTATCTGGGTATATTATGGGTTATGATGGTTATGGTTCTAGAAGGCCGAGTTGCCTCATTTGTTGAGTAAATAGTTATTGGTTTCTTGTTGTTTCCTTTTTGTACTAAAGGTATACATGTATAGATATGAATGTGTTGGAAATAGACACAAGTACTGTATTGAGATTGCGAATAATGTAAAGGACATCGGATGTTTGTAAACAAGTTTTGAAAAGGCAAATCAGGTTTAAGTCCAGAAAGTGAGAGAAAACGTAATGGGCTTGGTGAAATTGTTTTCATAAATTTGTTATTGTCATAGAATTTTTGGAAAAAGGTAACAAGGAGAAAGAAAAATGAATTGCTTACATTATTGAATAAAATGAATGATTTTGAGAAAAGTCCTTATATACGTATATTTCTGTATAAACTGTCACATTATTTATAAAGTATGAGAGTAAGCATTCATGATCATAGCTATCTGTATGCTATTATTGTTTAGGATCATGTTGAGATCCCTACTGGATTTTATGTTCATCCCACGTTGCTAATCTTTTTTCAGGTGAACGTTGAGAAGTGTTTCAAGGTCATGGATCTTCTTTACTTGTTGGCCACGAGGCCTTTTATTTGTGAGCAAAATGCCATCGATGTAAAAGGGTTAAACCCTTTCTCTTAATTTAAAAGATGTAAGCCTACGGGCAATTTATTTAATTATAACTCCTATTGCATTCATGTTGTACTCGGATGAGAGAATCTTTATTCATGTGTTCTTGTAAATATAAAGAGTTTTCGTTTGTTATCTCTGAAATTGAATCTATAATAATGGTTTGGTAATAAAATCTGAGTAATAAAAATTGGGGCGTTACACCGACCACTTGTCGTATGGTTCAGGTCAACTCTGCACAAGATGATGAACCCAAAGCTCCACCAAGAAAAATACTTTTATTTGGTTAGTAATCTCTTAAGTGTAAAAAGTAGTTGGTCTAGAAAAGAGTAAACGAGAGGAATAATATATAAGTCACTAAAACCTTACAAATTACACCAAAAATAATCACCATAAAATTAGAGAAAATAGGGAGTCCCATAACCTCCAAATATTAACTCACCACCAAACCCATGACTTTCCAATTAATCTCCACTCAAGGACAAGACAAAAGACCACCAAAAAATATCTATATAATAAGACAAGAGGGATTTTGAAAATGTCTTAAAATGTATTTGAGATACATTTTGATCCAATGGTTGAGATCAATCCTAAAAATATATTAAGGGTGCAGATCAATTTGATTCCCACTCAAACCTTCTCTGCCCTCTCCCACCTACCCACGTCTCCTTCCCCATTCCATCTTTTTCTCTTCTCTGTTTCTGAACAACAAGATAGAGCTCCATATATGGATAAGCACTGAGAACAACAATATACAGAATCTTTTGGGATTGAAACAGTTATATATTATATATATTAAACGCTACCACTCGCTGCCTCTCCCCCTCTCTCACCCGATCTCTGCCTTTCCTCCTCTCCCCCCACCCTCCAGGTCGCTGCCTCTCCCCATCCGCCCGATCTCTGCCTCTCCCCGTCTCCCCAGGTTTTTGTTTTTGTTTTTTTTGTTTTTTTTTTATCCACAGATTCTCTCTCTGTCTCGGAGATTTATTGCTTCGACAATCCTCTGCCAGAGATGTTCGGTGGGTTTTTCTAGAATCGGCCAAGAATTCAATCTCAAATGCGTCTTCGTTCTGATTTTCAGCCTCTCTGTGTTCCTCCCTGTCATATTTTGGCTTCTTCCTTTTCACTCATCGCTTTCTGGGTTTGTTGCAAAATACGCAATCAAGCAGTGGTAAGCCATTTTTTCTATTTTGTTTTCTGTCTCCTCAAACTGTAGTGTAGTGTTGGTCTATAATTATTAGGGCTGTGTTCTGATGATTTCAGTAAAGGGGAATTGCTCACAATCTTTTTTTGTAATGGAATTAAGGTCTATAATGGTTAAATTAATGTTTTTGAGTTGTGTATAGTATTCTTGGTTTTGGTGTTGTGGTTAATTTCAAATGTTAATTTGGGATAACAATGTGGTACAAGGAAATGCGGTTAGTTTCAGATTTTATTATCAGAAAACATTTTGGGAACATGTTTTACAAGAATATATATAAAAGAATATCAGAAAACAATATCAGAAAACATTTTACTGTATTCACAAGAATATATATAAAAGCTTTTCAAGGGGAGAGAAAAAACAGAGAAAGAGAGATCAAGAATTCAAGATCTTTGAAAATATTGTTTGATCTTTAATTAGTTTCTATGATTGTTTGACATGCATACAAAATATTGTTTGAAAATATTTTTTGGCTCACAGATCGAAATTGGAGAAACACGATGTGGCGAAGCAGCTTCGTCGAGACCCCTATGAAGTTCTCGGCGTCTCAAGGAACTCCACAGATCAGGAAATCAAAAGCGCTTATCGAAAAATGGCTCTCAAGTACCTTCTTCCCCCCACTATTTTCTAATGATTGGTTTGGTTTTGTATTCAAAGTTGAAATTTTTGTCTAGGTTAGGATTTTTTTTTTTTGTTATGACATTGCATAGATCAGTGTTGAGAATTATTTATGACATTGCATACAATGTATTGAAATTTTTTTTTTTTCTTATGACATTGCATAGATCAGTGTTGAGAATTATTTAACAATTTTTGAGATCTTCACATTGTAGCTGATTCTGAAACGTTGGCACATTTTCAAATTTAGTTTTCCCTCTTTTTGGAAAAAGAAGAAACTTTGAAGGACGAATTTACAATACTAACCTGTATCGTTTGACATTGTTTTGGTTTCCAAATGAAGAACAAAGTCGCCCTTTTTTTTTTTTTATTGGGATAAATAATAAGAACAAATTTTATTTGGGTCAGTTGGGTTTTTTTGTTTGTTTCCTCGGGTCCTAGATGATGTAAAAACTTGAGATTTGAATTTTTTTTCCCTTACCCTTTTGATAACAACTAAATGGAATCTAGATGGAAAATGAATCTGTCTGTCTTTGTTCAATGTCTAGATTAAGTTTTGTTTCTAGAAGTCAAAAAAGATTATAGACAAATATAAATGCCCAAGTGATGTTGTGTTCTGTTCAGTTATCTGCTCATAATATCAAGTATCAATTCTGGGTTTTTCAAGTAGCAAACCAATTGACCCGAAAATTCTTGGTGGAAACAAAGAAATCGGTTCAACAAGCCAGCAAAATTGGGTATGTGATGGGGTTCAGAAACAGTTGTGGGTCAGATAGCAATGGTCGTGCAGGATGATTATGGGTGTGGTGGAATGATGCAGTGGAAGTATTGCCAACTTATAGGTCTGCGAATATAATTGCTTTGTAGATTCAAGATGATATTAGAGTAGTTTGGTTCATTGTTTTTTTGTATGGCCATCCATCAGTTTCAAGAAGAGGAGAGGTGTGGTGTCAAGTGGAAAGCCAAATCAATAGGTTCCAGCATCCATTTATTATTATAGGGGACTTCAATCATACGGAGAAATTAAGTCTGTCAGGTTGACCCATTCAGGGAGCTAATGAGTTTGATAATTTGATTTTCAGAAACCAAATGGTGGATCTGCCAAGTAAAGGAGTTCGGTATACCTGCTGCAACAATCGGTGGAATTCAGCTGCAGTGTATGAATGGTTGAATAGGGCTTTAGCTTCCTTGAGTTGGGTGGAAGCTTTTAAGTGATGTTCACTAATTACTTTACCAATTCAACGTTCGGATCATAGCCCTCTATTGCTTGATACCGATTGGAGTAATTTAAAAGGTCCGAAGTGGAATAGATTTGAAGCAACATGGTTAAGGGAGGAGACCACACAGCAGATTGTCAAGAAGGTGTGGAGGTGGTCTGCACGGGTATAATCGATTCTCAATAATTTAGGGACAAGAGGTTTTGATGAGACACTTGAAGAATTGGCATTCTTTATCATTCCGAAGTATTCAAGGACAAATAGATGATACTCAAAGTCAGTTACAACGCGTTCAATCTTTTCTTCATCAATCTGGGCAGCCTGACAAAGAGATGGAGTTGAGACAACAATTGGATGGCCTTTTGGAGAAACAGGAATTGTATTGGGCACAACGATCGAAACAAATGTGGATTGGAGATAGAAATAACAGATTTTTTTCATCAAATGGCTCCTTGGAGGAGAATTAGAAATCATAGTTCTTTTCTTAAAGATGAAGAAGATCATGTTGTTACAGAACCACAGGCCATTCAGAGAACTTTCATACTACATTTTCAAAGGCTTTTTTCACAAACAAAGGGCCGAATGGGAGTTCTTCGGACACAGGTTTTTTCCCTAACCATTTTAATATTTTAAATGTTGTTCATTGTATGTTAAATGCGCAGCATGTTCACATGTTAGAATAGCCTTTTTCACTGGATGAAATTAAGAAGGTGGTTTTTCAAATGGGTAAACTTAAGGCGCTGGGACCCGATGGGTTTATACCGGGTTTTTATCAACATTTTTGCGGGAAAGTGGGTCCGTCGGTTGTTGAATTTGTGCTTAGTTTTCTTAATTCAGGGATCTTAATCCAGGGATCTTAAAAAAGAGAGGAGTTGCTGTAAATCTTCGATGTGCTAGGTGTAATCATAGTGATGAGACATTAGAATATGTGTTTTTTTATTGTCACTGGGCACAAAGGGTGTGGAGAGGATCAACGCTGGGGCTTGATTTTAGTAGTGGAACACCGGTGGCTTTCTTTCAATGGTTCAAAGAATGGATGGAACAAGTAAAGGATGATGACATTATCATCCAATCTGTAGCAATTCTCTGGGCCATTTGGATACAAAGGAATAATGTGGTGTTCAATGAATTTGTTCCATCTATTGAACACACAATTGAGGAAGCAAAGAACCTGTCAATGATGGTTATTAATAACAAACATAATGAAACACCTATGAACACAGAAAAGGTGTTAGAAGTAGGGAAAAAAATTTGTTCAATGTCTAGATTAAGTTTTGTTTCTAGAAGTCAAAAAAGATTATAGACAAATATAAATGCAAAAAAGATTGTAACTCATTAAGTATTTTCTATCCGTGACACTTAATTACTGGAATTAATTTAGGAAAAATTGCAAATTAGTGGTAAGACCAAAAAAATTGCAAAATCATGGGAAACTTTATCACTTAAATTATTAAAGTTGATAAGTTTTACTATTGATTTGCAATTTTCCTATTAATTTTTAGATTTTATTATCGATTTTGCTATCAATGATTTTATTTCGAAAAGTGGAGAGACGAGTTGACTTTTTGCTATTCGTTTTAAATTCTCAAAAGATGTACAAGTGATTTAGAAAAAAACATTTGACTGCTATGTATGGTTGCTACTTTTTGTAAGGTTGTTATTTTTGTACAAGTGATTTAATATTTTTCATGGATGTACAAGTGATTTAGTATTTTCATGGATGTACAAGTGATTTTGTATTGCTCAAAAAATGTACAAGTGATTTAGTATTAATCAAAAAATATTGTTAATTGCTCAATGACTCAATGCCTAGCTTTATATTGAACTGCCTAGGTATATTAGTTGTTTCTCAACTTAATTAGTTATATCTGAAAGTTTTCATAATATTTGTAGGTTTTTGGTTGATGTCAGGTTGTGTTGGGAGTACATTTTTCCTAGATTTTTCTCACGTAGTTTCAGGTTTATAATTTGCAAAGAACTATTACAATGTGATTAATTTTTTGGGTATTTAATTAATAATGATGTACATTGCTGGTGATATTACTTGGTATTTAGGCACGGGCATACAACCTTTAGGCACGAGCAGTAGCACCAGCAGGTGTACATTGCTTGGTATTTAAATTAATTTTTTTAGATTGCAGAGCACTGGTTGGTGTGCATTTCAATTTTAATTTTCTTAGATTGCAGAGCAATAGTTGGTGTGCGTTGGTTGGTATTTAATTTTAATTTTTTTTTTTAATTGCAAAATACTGGCTGGTGTGCATTGTTTGGTGTAATTTTTTTTGAATTATGGAGTGTTAACAAATGTACAATACCTTGGTTTGTATGTTTTGTTTTATCTTTACAATTTTTTATTAACTTGCATAGCAAGGGTGCTTTTATTTTTAGATGTTTGCATTGATATGAAGTTTATACTTTAGAGTCAAATGTCAAAGATTGTTGGTTCAGATATTGTGTAATTGTGCACATAATGTAATTTTAGATAGGTTCAGTTGTAATTGTGTAAATGTTCTTTTATCTCTCTGCTCTCCAGGCCTGTTCTTCTTCGGTATTTTCTGATCGCAAGGTAAAATTCCCTTTTTTATTTTCATCATTTCACTGGTCTGAATCTTTTTATATGAACACTGTGCTACAATCCTTGATTGATTGAGTAAGGAAACCATACTTAAAAGTTTATTGGGTATTTGGTGAGATTCGAGTATGCGATCTATTGTCTGCTATGATACCATGTGAAGTTATTTGGGACCAATTCATTTAAAGGTTTAATTGTTTTAGAGAGGGGTAATTTTATTTAGCCTTTCTGCACATCCATTTTCAATTCTTTATATATTATGTGATGTGTGTGGGCCTTTATTTTTAGTGATTTGTTGTGCCTTTGGGTTGATAACTTTGGTCTCCATTGGCTCTAATGTGGCCCGGTTATGGTGTTTCTTACTGATACAATCTGCAAAATTTGAGTGGGACCTGTGAAAGATTGTTTGCTGAATGGAAGTTTGTTGCCCTGTTAATCGAATTTAATGATGGATTGGCAGATTTTTGTGAAGTTATGTATATCTATTGGCACATAAATCTTGAGACACATGATCTAACTGTATGTATGTGTAGATACAAATTGTACACCATACGCATCACTTTTGGGTAATTGTTTTTTGAATATTCTTTTTTTTTTCTTTTTCCTTGAACTTGCAGGTTCACATTACACAAGATGACCATGAAGGTAGGAGTATGATCATTTCATGGGTGACTCCAGTTGAGAAATACCCTAATGTGGTGACATACTGGGAAGCAGGCACTAAACATTTACACAAGCTCCAGACTCATTCTGAAATCACCACTTATAGATACTATAATTATGCTTCTGGTTACATTCACCATGCTACTATCAAAGATTTGACGGTACAAATATATATGCATTAAATGTATTTTGTTTTAATCTATTGTCTTATGTTTAAGATTACTTTTTTGAGCTTTCTAACTTTTTTTTCATGTAGTTTGACACAAAATACTTCTATGAAGTTGCGTCTAATGAAGTTACCCATCAGTTCTCCTTCACAACTCCTCCCAAGCCAGGACCTGACGTTTCTTACACCTTTGGTGTCATAGGTTAGGGTAATCTAGGGAATTTTAGTTTATTTATTTAATTCATCATTCATTACATTTTGTATAATGTTAACATTATTTTTGTGCAGGTGACTTGGGACAAACTGTAGATTCCAATCGAACTCTAGAGCATTATATGTCGAACCCAATAAAAGGCCAAGCTGTGCTATTTGCTGGTGATCTTTCATATGCTGATGATCATCCTAACCATGACAATACCAAGTGGGATACATTTGGTCGTTTCATTGAGAAGAGCGTTGCGTACCAACCCTGGATTTGGAGTGCAGGCAATCATGAAATTGACTTAGCTTCTAATTTGGTAAGACACCAAATAAATATGTTCTATTCATTGTCACCGAGCTCATTTCTCTGTCATAAATTATTTTATGGATTATATCATCTTCTTTTTTAGGAAGAAACCGATCCTTTCAAGCCATATTTGCACCGCTATTATGTACCCTACAAGGCATCCTAGAGTACTTCCCCATTTTGGTATTCAATTAAGCGTGCATCAACATATATCATTGTTCTTTCTTCTTACTCAGCCTATGGTATGAATCTTCTTCTTTTTTTCTTTTACTTTCATATTTTATACTTTTTTTTTTTTTTTGCTAACAAAATTTTATAGTTGTTTAGGGAAATATACCCCGTAATACAAATGGCCTGAACAAGAGCTCCCAAAGATTAACAGATATGAAACTCCATGGGTCATTGTTATTTTACATGCTCCATGGTACAATACCAACCACTACCATTACATGGAAGGAGAAAGTATGAGAGTCCAGTTTGAATCGTTGTTTGTTCAGTACAAAGTTGATATTGTATTTGCTGGCCATGTTCATTCTTATGAGCGTTCAGTAAGCTTTCTTTCTAATACAAAATTAGATAATTTATTTTCATATTGTTTAGGAAAATTAATTTCTTATCCTATGCTGTAGGAACGCATATCAAATATTAAGTACAACATTACAAATGGATTAAGCTTACCGGTTCGAGATATTAATGCTCCAGTATACATAACAATCGGTGATGGTGGAAACATGGAAGGCATAGCTAACAAGTCAGACTGTTTAATTGTTTCTTAGGTCAACTGATTCTCATACTGAACTATTTTGTAAAATTGTCTACTTATAAAATTGACCTTTAATTTTGCAGTTTTATATATCCACAACCAAATTATTTTGAATATCATGAAGCAAGCTTTGGGCATGCAATTCATGACATAAAAAATCGGACTCATGCTTATTATTGTTGGCAGCGTAATCAAGACAATGAAACCGTTGTAGCAGACTCTGCTTGGTTTTTTAATAGGTTCTTTTCTTATGGCGGATGAAACCATTCCATGACAAGGAGACTTAGGAGATTGTGCCCTCAATTACAAGGAGGCTTAGATTTTTGTTTGGAGAGATTTTAGTTTGGATTTTTTATTTACTTATTTATTTTGGTAGGTTGTATTTGTTTTTGCCAGTGCTTTTTAGATAGGTTCAATAATGTTTAGTGTGTCCATTATGTTAGCCTTTTAATAAATGCGAAGTATTGTTTTTGGATATCCTTTTTGTCTAGATGCCTAATAATAACAGCCGATTAGATGACTTAATAGCAGAGCAATAAAATCAAATGGGACAAAATGTGTTAAGTTGACAACTTGAATGGCCAAATCGTTGGAAATTCAATTTGTATTAAACTACCCACGTTCAATTTTTCTTAAACTGCCCATAGTTGACTCAAGTTTAACATTTTGGATTGTAATCTGCTAAAATTTTATGTTGATTTATTATGGTGTTTCGATGATTTATGTTAATTAGAGGTTAATTTGAATATTATGTTTCATCTATCTTTTTAGTGTTATTTTAGATTGTTTATGGGTCAATTTATAATTTATTTTAATCTTAACATTATTTTAGATTGGAATTATAATTATATTTTAATCTTAACATTATTTACATCGTGCCTTCAGGCACGGGCATACGCTAGTAATTAAATAAAACACTTGCATTCTTTAATACTGTTGGGAAACAAGCAGTAAGATCACTAAAAGGACAACCCTTGAAAAAAATATTTGATTTATTCATTAGAAAATGACTTTCTATCAACTCTCTTTTTGTGTTGAGTTTTATATACTTCAATTATTATTAGGCACCAAAGACTTCCTGTCACTCCTTTCCAAGTCTAACATCAGATAAGGCTCTTCTTCCTTGACATAATAGTTTGTTCAAATGCTCAATATATATATATATATATATTTTATTCAAGTAACCCCACCGGCCACTTGAAGATCAAAGAACATATCTTCCTATCTCAATATTATCACCCATCAAATTATGCAAGAATTTTAAAACACAAATTCCAACGCATGATCCAATAAATAAAATTTTTAAATAAATTATAAATACACCATCTAAGATTTTCTTAAAATACAGATTGCCCCCTTGTGATTTAAAAAATTACGAATACTCCCTGATCATAATTTTTTATGTAACAAAATTAACTGAAAAAATAAAATTCATAATTGCTCTACTATACAATAATAAAATTACTTAAATTATTAATTGAAACATATTTCTAATATCATTAAAAACTGTTAATTGACTTAATAATTTAGTAATAAAAGAGGCGATATGTTATAAAATTAGAAACCTCAAGGGGTAGAATGTAATTTTCAAAACCACAAGAAGTGATTCGTATTTTAATCAAACGTCAAGAGGTGTATTTGTAATTTACCTTAAAATTTTTGAAAACATTACGTGCCTAGAAGGGTAGGCCAGGTGGAATCCTGTCCCATGATCTGATTTTTAAAATTGGCAATTAAATTATGTGATTGTAATTGCATCAGACTTAGACAAATAATTTTGAAATAGAAGATCTTGTGCTCTTGTGGTGATAGGAACAGTCCCTGTTACCTGCAGATCAATTAAGTTCAACAATCAAATAGAGTCCCTAACACCACTACTCTTAACAGCCATTTGTTCAAGATCTTTGAATAAACAAAATGGGGTACACAAGGTCCAAGTGGTCATAAGAGGATGCTTAAGTGCGATTGAGGTTAAATCTCAAATCGAGTCAATAGAATAACATCAGCCTGTTGTAATAATCTAACTTCTTACCATGTGACTAAAAGAAAAAGTCCCACTTCACAAACCCAATGACATTAGTTTAACCAACAAATTCCTCAAATAGATGCAGCACTATGTTCATTTAATAACTAAACAAGAAAATAAACATTTATCCAGTCCTTTAATATCGATGCCATGTTTTCTAAAGTTACCTTGTGTGGATAATCAATGTACAAGAAGACATGCAGCAGCACAGTAGAGAAAACTCACAAGAAAATAAAACTACCAAACAAATCTCAAGCTTAGCCAAAATTATCTGAAGAAACATGCTCAAGGAATAGGTAACAAAGGCCTCAGAAGTTACAAAATAGATGGATAAACCTGTACCATTAGCTTTGATGAACAAAAGAGGGGAAAATAAGTGGGGAGGAGGTGTTTGGGATGGTGTAGTCAGAGATTTGTAACCGCACCACGCTCTCCCTAAGCCTTAAAAAAGGCGACTAAATTGACAAACCAACCTCTTTCTACAAGCACTGGAACTGGAGCACCAAAACTGAACTACTGGCTTACTTCGGTTCCTTATCCAGTTTGGGAGCAGGCTCAAGTTCACTTAAATCTTAACTGACAGCAATTCCTTCCTTCACTTACAGGCTTTCCTAGAAGTCAAAATCATGATCCTGTCCCTTCAACTATCAGTCAGTCCATTGACTAAGAATGGGGTCTGGAACAAGAACTTCACGAAAAGAAAAAGTATACACAAACATGTGTGCACAAGAACTTTATGTTGGCTTCTCAACAAAAACTCCTAGGTTCATCCATCCAGCAATGAAAATTTAGCTTTGAGGAATTTACGATGACTTTTGACAATGGTTAAGGTAGGCTGTGTAGGTTAGTGGCTGATGGATTCCTCTAATCAAGTTGACCTCAAACAAGTAATTTGACGAGTGTGTTCTCCTGGACCCCATATCTGAACACACAGCAATGATATAGCATATCGATATAATCTGTGGCTACTTGATCCAGCAATTCAAACAGAGATAAGTTTTCCAAAATAAAGCTCTATTTTTTTTTCAGATAGGACCAAAACAAAGCTTAACAGCTTAACAAATTAGCAAAAGCAGCTTAATGATAGGGTAATTATTTCATTTCTAAGTAATATAAAGCATAGTTATTGGCCCACAAGAAAAGGAATGAGAAAACTATAACCCTCAAAAATGTCTTTAATGTCTCAAGTTGTAGCCGGAGTATCAAGCCGCATATGATATCTGCAAACTGGAAGATGTTTCAGAATAGCTGTAAGCCATGGTTTTCTCGAGCCACCATCTGCAGGTTCATTTGCTCTCGATATCGTAGAGATCTGATCTGAACATGTACATCAAGGAAATTACAGAATATTATGCGGACAATCAAATACAAGAGTATATGAACCATTTTTAAATATTTAGACGCAGCAAAGAGAGTTAACATCTTTGATCTTGCAAGCACAGGATTTATTTTTTTTTTTTTAACAATCTTGTATATACAATATTTTATTGCACAAATACTGTACATTCAGTCCATCTACAAAATAATGACATCTAGTCTACTATGGAACTTAAGATGAGTCCGTACACTTTGGAGAGCACTTTCTTTCTTTTTTTTCTTTTTTTTTTTGCCCATATGATAGTATGTTAGGGAGTCAGTAAGTTAGAATATAACGAAAGATTCTCCATCGATTCGAACCCTGAACCTCTAACATTCTCACTGTTCCAACGGACAGCTAAATCCACCACTGGGCCAACTGCCCTGTCCCACTTTGGACAGCACTTAAGCATGAACTTACCGATCACATACAGTCAAACACCAACCCTGTACAAAAACCCAAAAGCTGGATCTCAAAAACTAGTGCAATAGCTCCCAAAAGATGAGCAAAAGACTATATCAAAACTTGGAGCTCCCCTTGAGCCAAAATAAGGATCTCTACTTTCTTCAAAGGAACATTTGTTCCACTCTTTTCTCAAAATCCACAAGCATGAGGGCACCACTCACCACATTTCTCAAAATCCCCTCCTAACACTTCAAATTCCCTCCAAAAAAGGTCAGAACTTCCAGGTCCAACCTTATGCCATAATTAATTGCCCAATTTAACACGCCCGTTTAAGACCAAAACCCTTTTTGCAAAGGACATTACCAAAGAATCCTCAATAAATACAATGCAAACCTTCTTAAAATTATTTATTAAGCATAGATTTGGACACAAAACATGGGTACAACAATACGGACAACGCGGCAATTTTTTTTTGAAAAAAAACAAGATACTACAAGATAGAAAATCAAGATACGACACGACTCGGTAAAATTTTCATATGTATACATTAAAAAAATAACTATTCTTCATTTTTGCATGACAAAATATATATACATTTTATTATTATCAAATTAGTAAAGAAATCATTTTTCTCATTCTACATATTGAAAAAGAAATACAAAGAAATATCCAAATATCTATATTAGAATTGGACTTTAGAATTCCTAAAATTAAAGGGACTAGAGCATGAGAGATTAATAGGTATAAATAGGATCCTAAGTTACTTTTTTCGAACTTGCAATGTATTTCATTTGTGTTTAAGTGATGGAAACGAGTGTTCCCTAAGTGTATAAAAGTTTACAAAAGAAATTTAAGTAATAATATGATACATTTGGACATATATCTGACAAGTGCTCAAGATGACACCTTCTTAGTGTGGGTATTTGGATTATCCCATTTTGTGGGGGCTCCATGTCAGCCTAGTCTAACGAATATGACCATGTAACAAGCCCTCAGCAATGCCACGACATCTCCTAAATAAACTATTAGGTCGTGCCCAAGCCTAAGCATGGGACATGAATTACCGAGTATGGTACCTTAGCCCATTAACAAGCTCAATGCCTTAGTCACATGCCAATGCACATAGTAGACGAGGCAAAGATTGGGAATCCCAAGTCATGGTACAAAGCAATACTCAGATGAGCCAAGGCACCTTCATTCAGCCACCCTACTAGCAACATGGCCCAACAATCCCTTAGTTCGGCCAAGTGCTCCTCTATCACACCATGATCCCTTTATGCTTCATTCCCATAGGTCATTTCAAGGCGTGGCCATGAATTCCACTCGTTCAAGTCAAGGTATCTCTGCTCAGCCACCCCAACCCAATAGCAACATGGCTTGAGTAGCTTGACACCACTTCTTGGCTTGATCAAAAAGACTCTCTGTTGGGTCATGACTCCCCTATGCCTTATACCCTCTATTAGGGAGTCTTATATAGTTCATGATCAATACAACCATTGCTATCACTTTGTTTTCATAGGCTAGGAGCAAGGCCTAGGCACACATTGCGCAGAATCAATAGAGGATTGTGGTTTAGAGGCTATAGTTAAGGGTTTATCGAGGTCGCTTGACTTGCTCCATTCTCAAGAAACAAAGGTGTTGAACCAACAAGTGATACCCTCCACGTAAGGTGTATCATACCTACCACCAACCTCATTCTATGATACATTCTCCAATATATCATAACTACCTCTGTTGTTGTCCATAGCATAGACCCCAAGATCTATATCCTATGACATAAGGGTAGGCGAGATGCCTTCATTTTGTCAAATCAAGGAGAGTCAGCCATTTGGTCTTGGATAAGCTAGCCTCTAACAGTCCATCATCCTATATAAGGGGACTCCAATGCAAGTGTTGAAGCAAGTTCATCCCTTACTTACTCTACTCTTCCAACAATGGTCCATCTCCTATTCTACCATCCTCTTTCTCACTAAAGACACCTTAATTCTCTCCTCCTTGGCCTCTACTAACTCATTGGTCACCACCCACATTTAGAAATGTCTATGATCACTAATTCTCTTTCTTGCTCTTTTATAACCTCCTCAAGACCCCCCCTCCCCCTCCCTCTCCCCCTCCGCTCTTTTTTATTCAAGAAAAAAAAAATATAGAAATTACACTTTAAGGCAACGTTTGTTTTCCGAATTAAATTGGATGAGATAATGAGTACGGTGGCATTGAGTGAGTGGGGATTACTACTGTGGCGGCATTAGGTTGGAGGTGTAAGGTAAATTGTGTTTGTTTGTGTACTATTATAGTGATATTAATTGATTGAGATTAAATCTATGAAATTACATAAAAGCCCTAATTATGTAGAAAGTGACAATTGTTTTTGTAAAGTAAGGGGCAAAATAGTCATTTCAACCCCAATCCCATAAGATTGAATTTGCAATACCACCTCCGCCATGGGATTGCTACTCCCCTCATTGAAGGGTATTCCTAATCCCATGGGACTCCTAGTCTCATCATGGTCGTTTCTCAAACCAAACATGTTTCTTGTAAAGCTTATATAATTGGTAATCCAATCTCATAGGCTATGGAGGAAAACAAATAGAGCCGAAGGGGAAGGGAATGGGTAGCAAGGTTCAAACCCTGCTCGTGAGCAAGGTCATTCAATGTCCCCGACCACCAATTGGGACGACCTTATTGCTCCCTAACCTCCTCAGGACGTTGACGCATTAATTCATTTATTCTCAATGATATTACATTCAAACTTTTTATACCCAACCTAGTAATGAAGGAGCATCAAGTGATAATCTATAAAAGTGATAAGACATTTTAATTAGTCAGCTCTTCTGGTTTTCAAGAATCATTGAAGTGATATAAAAGTTGTTATCAAGATTCAAGAAAATTCCTTAAAGACTTCTAGGTTATTGTCAAGTGCTTAAATAAATTTAGTGCTTGTTATGCGTGGAATACCAAGAATCTAGCATTTAAGAGACATTTGTAATCTTATAAATTCATATGAAGATGAATAATAAGATTAGGTTGTTGATATCCAAAAAATTATCTTGCAAGTGTTCTTTCCTAGAGTGATTGATTTGTCTAGCCCAATCAAGGAAGTGTCTTGGTCACATGAATGATTCTACAATTAGCAGTCTCAAGTGATTCCACTCGTTGAGCAATTTGTGACAAATCAGACCCACTCAATTCTTATCTTCTTCTTCACTTTTTTTTTTTTTTTTTTTTTTAATTATCTTCTTCTTCTCTTTGGCAATGAGCCTCTAAAAAGTGCTCAATGAGTAACAAGAAGATCCATCTTATCTCAAGTACGAGGACTAGAGAAAAAATTAGCTTCACATATCACAATATATGAGATGAATATTTGTTTAAGATACACATCCTAAACCAATGTTATTGTGAAGCAATTTGCACAACCTGAATTGTCTCTAACAAGGTAAGTAACATTTTGATAACAATCTTAATTTTATCCATGTTGGGAAGGTGGGCATTCATGGGTATGTGGCTGGGAGAGCCCCAAAATAAACAGCCCCTCCATCATTATTTAGAGCCCCCATCACCATTGGAACCAAAAAAAAAGGAAGGGGGAAAAACATTGCTGATAAATCCCTTCCAAGACAAAAAGATGTTTCAAAAATATTGAAAGGTTCTTTAGAATCTTTTTTATCTAACCAATGTCTATGTGTGTGTACGTGTGTCGCAACAAGAAAAAGTTCAGCACTTGCTTTACTGCCAATTTTTTGTATGTTGAAATTTTAACATGGAATAACAAGTTTGTTTCAACAATTTCTGAAGTTATTCCAAACTTTTTCGCATCTACTAAATTAAGTAGTCCAAAGCCCCCATTCCTAGCGTTGGTTTCCCACCTTATGACTTCAAAGCCTGCAAGGTTAACATTTAAAATCCTACAACTATACATCTAATTACTTAAAGTAATCCTTTAATCCCAAATATATATATATATTTGCATTATCATGCTGTATAAAATTGAAATGGGTTATTGTTTAATAGCAATGAATTATGAAATATTATAAGCAGACAGTGAATCTGGTCCTTGGGAAACCAGTTAGCAACATGTCTCAGATAACCCTAATCACATTAACAAAAACAAAAAAATAAATAAATAAAAAATAAAAAACAGTGAATCAAAAAAGGATACATCAAGTAAAAGCCACGAGCAAATGCCCCAGCAAGCACAACAGTGAACAAACGGTCCCTCAAAACAGGGTTATGTCGCAATTGAATTCGAACTGAAAATTGAGAACGCAAAGATTAAAACACTGAATGAATCAAACCCATTATTAGAAACATACAATTTAGTAAATTTACAATGAACCATCATAAAGAAATTAATAAAAATAAAAATAAAACCAGAGCTACTACTTACTGAGAGGAAGAACAGGAGCATAAATTAGGGGAAACAGAAATTTCAAAGGGGTCCTTTGCTTTGTTTCCTAGCAGCAGCCTGCCTTGGAAAATAAATTTATACATCAAACTTCAGTAAACAAAAGAGAGAGAGATCGAGATCTGATATGGTAATGGCAGGGATCCAATGTTTTACCAATATTTTTATCAAATAAAAATGTTTCGTGTAATATAAATTCACATAAAATTCATATCGTGTCATAAAAATGTTTCATATGATATAGACTCACATAAAATTCATATATATTATATTGTATGAGTCCCTGTAACATTTTTCGATCCGATATGATATGATTACCAAAACTAATGCATAAATTTTTTATTAATATTTAAAACGTCTCTCCCTCATTGTGTTGTATTTTTATATGATTAATATGGTATGATATGATTAATAAAAATAGTTGTAAACCCCGAAAAAGGAATGAGACTCTCATTATGAGAGAGAGAGAAGAGTCGTTTTTGTTTCATATGATTTCGTTGATTCCTTGTCTATATGAATGGTCCGCTTCTTCCTTTTATTTAAGTCTCTGTTTTTCCTCAATACCATCTACAGCGGGTTACCTATCGATAGAGTTGCAAATGAACCGAATCGAGTCGAGTTTTGTTAAGCTCGATCTTTACTCGTTTATTTATCGAGCTCGTTTATTGAATTCGAACTTGACTCGACTCGTTAACATTAATAAAACTCGAGTTCAGCTCGGCTCAGCTCGATAAATTTTTTTTAATATTATTTATATTATTTAAATAAAAATATTTAAGTAAAAAATATTATTTATATTGTTTAATATATAAATAATGCATTTATATATTTTTTTATATTATTTAATATATAAATAATATATTTATTATATAATTTAAATAAAAGTAAACAAGTCGAGAAACAAGTCGAGTTTATGCAAGCTCGAGCTCGGCTTATTTACTAAACGAGCCTAATAGTCGAGCTTGAGCTCGGCTCATTTGCTAAACAAACCGAACCAAGCCAAGTCTTTAACGAGCCGAGCCGAGGTTGTTCATGAACAACTCGTTTCATTTGCAGCTCTACCTACCGCCCAATCTCTTAAAATTGTAACCATTCCTATCATTGCGCTGCCTTCAGATTAAATTTTAAAATTTAAAATTTATTTTTAAAATTATTTTATTTTGTCATAATTAATATGTATTGTGGGGACATAATTTTTAAAAAACAACACGTGGTCGAGGTGGCACCGAAGTGTCAGCCGAGGTGCCACGTGTCTTGATTATGACACCGAGGTAATCTCGGCTAGGCCGAGGTTATCTGCGAGAATACCAGAATCAGGGATGAGCGGATAAGGGACAAGAGTCCTAGAATGGGAAAGGACTTCAGTTTGGGTAAGGATGAGACTCGTAAAGAGTTTATCCCAATCCTCTTGGGAGTCCAAGATTAACAATAATCCTAAGTCCATTGAAGATAGGCTTCAATTGGGATTAGGTCAGTGTTGGCTATAAAAGAGAGGCACCCTCATGGGTCTAAGGTACGTTTTTTATATTCTGAATAGTGAGTTAAGCACTTTTGCTATCTTTGAGAGATAACTAACTTGATCGTCGGAATGCCCCCGGGTGGACGAACCACCTCCGGAATCTCTTCTTTCTGTGACAAGTCGTTCAGGTTTAATCTATTATGCCGGTGCTCTCCAGCTAAGTACTAGTTTGGCAGTGTGGTCAGAAATAAACCCACACAATTTGGCGCCGTTTGTGGGAAAGATAGTAGAATAGATGGCCAACGACGGACGGAAAGAAAAGATTAGGGACGATATCCCTCTTGGGAGTGGTAAACATATTGACCTTGACATCGAAGAAGACAACTACAACGAAAAGACTAGTGATAAGAATCATGGAGAAAAAGACGTCGGCCAGGAAGGTGACATATTAAAGAAATCAGACCGAAGCGGGTATTATAATGAAGACGACCTCTAGGTATGGAAAGATAGATGCCTGCGGAGGGACGACGAGATGAAGGGAATGGCAGACAAATTGGCGGACCTACAAACAGTCATCAATTTCATAATGCAGAACAACATCATGCAGCTACCATTCCCGCTGCAAGACACGTCAATTCTAGCGGCCAAGAACAATGCCCAGAAGGGAGGGCAAAAAACAGTCCCTGTAGCCGCCAGCACACCAGGACCAAGGAACACTCTTACCGCCCTTCAAGGAAGGTTAGGCGAGGAGAGTCAATGAAGGGAAATTCACAGAGGACGCATCGTATCAAAGAAACTGACCCCAAAGAACATCGGCATGTTGAAGGAAAGGAACTCTGTTTTGACGCAACTAACGGAGAAAGGTCCAAGAGGACTCATAATGACACCGGAAACAGCACGCCGAAAAGGCTGAAATCCGGAGATAGCCGAGCTCCAGGACGGACCAAGAGGATCTGAGGGATTACCTCTAGAGAAAACAACAAAATACCGAGGTAACCTCCCCGATTAAGCTAAGAACACCGTTCTCAGTAGAGTTGGACAAATTTGAGGCCCCAAAAAGGTTCAGTATGTCGAGGTTCCAGATATACGGCGGTAAGTCGGACCCCAACTTTCACGTCGGTTTGTACCTGAACTCGATGGTATTGTACACTGGGAACGAGCCGTTGCTTTGCAAGGTGTTCCCCTCATCCTTCGGGGAAATTGCATCGGATTGGTTTCACAAGTTGTCGAAAGGAACTGTGAAAATCTAGGAAGGCCTAGCCAAGATGTTTGTGGCCAGATTCGTGACAAACAAACTACAGCCATTAAGGGTGGACGCACTGATGGCTCTAAAAATTGGCGAGGACAAAAGCCTGAGGGCCTGTGCCAAAAGGTATTATGAGGTATTCAATCGAATACCAAAATGCAACTAAGAGGTGGCTATCGTGTCTTTTAAGAACAGCCTAAAAGATGATTGTTTGCTTCAAAAATCATTGGCAAAAACACTGCCAAAAAGTATGGAAGAATTAATGGCCAAAATAGAGAAGTATGCCAATGCCGAGGAAGACACGTTGGGGACAAAGGCATCGAAGCAAGAAAAGGGAAACGGCTCGCTGAAGCGAGGCCGAGGTAATGGCGGGAACAACAAGCAAGAGACAGGATTAAGAGCTACGCAGACAGTCACAACTGTATTCCGAATCCCAATTTACAAAGTCTTGGAGAAAATCCAAAGTCAGCCTTATTATAGAGCACCAGTAAGGGCCCCTGGTGAATTTATGAGAAAAAGCCTTGGCAAACACTGTGCTTACCACAACGAAAATGGGCACCTGACTCAGGATTACAGAGCCCTGAAGGCACATCTGGAAGACCTGGTAAGGCAAGGTCATTTCAGGGACCTTATAGACGAGGCCAGAACAAAGGAAGAGCAAGCAAGACTGCCTCAAGAACCAGCAGCTCCGCCTCCCCCAGCACAGCAACCACCCGCAGGAGGACCGCGGGTGGTTAACGTAATTCACTCAAAGGTGAACGAAAACGACATATAAGGGGAGACCCCGAAGGTAAAACACCTACAGCACGTGAACCAGGTTGGACATAAAAGACCTCGGCCTGAAGAATGCCAGGGACCGACGATAGCCTTTACTGAAGCCGACCTAGAGATGGTCCAGCATCCACATAATGATGCCTTGGTAAT